ATGTAATTGAGCCACAAGCTTGAATAGTTTAATTTTGCAATGCAGCTGTTTTATAGAATTTCCTCATAAATTATTCAAATTACATCCAAATTTGTATAATCGTCACATAATTATGCCAAGCATCACTTAAGCTACCTACATACCAAAAATTAATGACGATCCGTTAACCGGTTCTTGAGTTATCCTCTTTTGAATATTTATATACAAACGCCCCTACAGTTCCAGATCAAGCCGCTAAGGGCACAAGAGCTACCTACCATTTAAATTTCGAGCCCCTAGCATGTCTAGATCGTGATATATAAAAGCTCGAAGTTCCGCTGCAGTACCATAACAAGCTACCAGGGGACCCAAAATCCAATCATTTGGAGGTCTCAACACGACCTACCCACCTACCAAATATAAAGACAATCTATTCAAGCCTTCTCGAGTTATCGTGTTTACAGACAGACACAAACACACACACACACACACATACACAGACGAAGGCCCATGAAAACATAACCTTCTTTGCGAAGGTAATAATAAATGGTTCCACAAACAATCAAATAATACACATGATACACATATTTGCTCCACACATTTTTTGTGGAACTGTCGCAAGGGTCTGTGCGGCTGACACTCGGCGCCACAAGGTGACCTCAATACGACTTTCCCCAACCGAAGTTAGGTACCCATTCACACCTGGGTGGAGTGAGGAAAATCGTGGAAAGTGCCTTTCCCAAGGGCACGGATTCGGAGCGCATGTCGAGACATGTCCCGGGTACAACCAGGACTCGAACCCGGGTCTCGCCGTTTCAAAGTCGAATGCTCGAGCTCTACCATTACGCCACCCAACGCCACGATATTGACACATACTGCTTCACATTGGTACATTTAAATCAGCATTTCATACTTTGGGCATTTAAACAGAATCCTTTCTTTTCTGGATGGTACTCTAAAAATCAGCCCAGGACCCTTCCAATAACCATTTTCCGTCAGAATTTTGAGAATTTTTGCTCCAAAAGGGTCAATATACATTAGGCAGGTGGTTTTATCTCAGTCATATATAGATAAATGACTGATATAATACTTAATATTTGAATTAAAACCGCATTGTAGATACAGTTCCCTGTAACCAGGCATTTGTAAATATTGTACGTTTGGGAATGCATCTATATATAGCAGCCATGGACACCTGTGCTGCAGTGCAATGTAAACCAGTCAGAATTGCCCTGAGGAAGGTGAAAGACGATCACCTCTTGCAAAAATTATTACAGTGACTTTAAAATATCAGATTGCAAGGGAATGAACTTGATGTAGTAAAATTCACAACAACTGAATAGTTCTTGTTTCACTTTTCAAATTGGAAAGTGAATTTTGTCCTTGTTTGCCGCTGGGCTTGTAGGGTACGTAACTCGGTTATTGTTACTTTATAGTGACAACCGGTCCTACATTACAAGGGTCTTAGTAAAATAAACATGTTAATTGTCTGGGACTTCGGCTTGAATATTAATTTCAATGGCCTTCTTAAGGCCAAGGACTTTATATAGAGATAATGCCCTTGTTATGGCCATGTTTTACCTCCTAGATTGAAAAATCAGCGGAATGATAGAAAATATAAAGCTTATCTTTTAAAGGTTCAGCTGAATATTTCTGAAATATCATTTAACAGTCATTACATATTGTTTTTCTTAGTCACCTTCACTCTTGAATAATGCAATTGTTCAAGACCTTATGTTAAAAACAAATACTAGTAAAAGCTGTTTGCCATATGTTCATGATTGTGTGAAACCGTAAGCCTCAAAAACATTTCAAGTCTTACAAACATTTTAAACAGACCACGACTGAGAAAAGAGACTCTTTTTGCACAACCAAGTCTTTTTTTTTAGCCGTCGTTCGGTGACCGTCTGTCACCTTCCTCAGCTCAGGGCAATTCTGGACTGCATTATAGATACAGTTCCCTGTAACCACGCATATGTAAATATTGTTGTATTTTGTTTGATTTTATTTGATTTTATAAAGATTTACCACATTTGTGGAAGGATTGACATAACAGGTGACTATCACCTCTTCAAGATGTTAAACCTGAGACCAGACTGTAAGGTGTGAACCACTCACACTGGGAAGGTCACCTGCTCTTTTCGATAAATGCGGTGGGTTCTTAAACATGCGTTGGGTGTGGCTGTTCCCAAACACGGGACCTTCATTTAACGTCCTATCCGAGAGGCGTCCCTAACCGAAGCTAGTTACTCATTTTCACCCGTGTGAAGTGACGCAAGTCGTGTAAAGTACCTTCCCAGGGGCACAAGATCGGTGACACCGGGCAGGATTCGAACCCGGGACCTCTTGCTTTAAGCCGAACACGCTACCGCTACGTCACCCGACCCCACAGTTTATGAACATACCTTTCAAGTGAGTGAGAACAGCTTCAGTTGGCACTTTCTTGACAGGAACTCGGGCACAGGTTGTTGTTGTTCTTGTAGGGTCTGTCGTCCTTTCGTAGCTGATTCGTGACGCCGTGTGACAAACAACTCAATATTAGTCTTACGTACACGTGGTGAGGTGAGGTGTTGATTGTCTGATAAAGCTGGATATTTGAATAACATTAAATTTACTACCTCACGACCTCATACCTTCGCCAAATGATGTTAATCTTTATGTATTCATAGGCCGTGTTTAAGCGGAATCACCCAATGCGGCTTACATGTGGTTTACCCCGAAGCCGGTTTCAAGTGGCTCCATCTGAACGCTCCAAATCACATTGAAAGCGCCTCGATCCCAAGCCACTTCTAGAGGTGGTTTCGAATCAGTTTCCCCGCATCGCGATTTGCGTCTGAACGCAATGTGATTTCAATGTAACTTCGCCTGGTCATGGATTACGGGATGATATTTCTTTATTTTTATGCAAAACCAACTTTTACGTGGCAGCAACTTAAAGAGCAGTAATGGTCAAATAATGTGTCCGTTCTAGGGCGAGCTTCACCGCCTCTGGCGGGACCACGTCGGCATTCGGCCGAGATACACTGGGAGGGGGGCACCAGCAAGCAGGTCGTTGACCTCTGACATTAATAACACGCCATCTTGCGTGTTATCATCAAACAGCAATAAATGTAGCTCAAACGAATTGTGATCGGACACGGTTTCACCAGATGTGAGGAATGTGAGTTACCCGAATCGCGGTTTGGGTGATTCCGCTTAAACACGGCCATAGATAATTCCCCCTTCTTATGCAAAAAAGATCCTCATTTTCTTAAATTATATCAGTTGATCATATTCTCCAACAAAAGTACTCTTATCTTTCACCTTCACCTAACTTTTAAATACCCCCAATATGAAATTTCGGGCACGAACGTTAACCATTGTTTAACATTAACATTTTCTCGTTAATTATGCAAATTAAGCTTTACATAATCGAAATCTGCCTGCGTTTCTCACCTTCTCAATTATGTAATTGAGCCACAAGCTTGAATAGTTCAATTTTGCAATGCAGCTGTTTTTAGAGATTCCTCATAGATTATTCAAGTTCCATCCAAATTTGCATAATTGTCACATAATTATGCCCAGCATCAATTAAGCTACCTACATACCAAAAATCATGACGATCCGTCCACCGGTTCTTGAGTTATCGTCTTATGAATATTTTCAAAGAAATGCCCCTGCAGTTCCTGAGCAAGCCGCTAGGGAACCCAAACCTATGACACTTCTTTTCCCCAGCACAAAACCTATCCACCATCCAAATTTCGTAACCCTAGCACGTCCAGATCACGAGATATCAAAACCGGAAGTTCAGCTGCAGTACCTTAAAGAGCCGCTAGGGGGCTCAAAATCTAATCATTTCGAGGTCTAATCAAGACCTAGCCTGGGTACCATCCGGATTTTCGCTACGCAACGCTCGTGATTTTTTCGAGCGTTGCGTAGCGAAAATCCGGATGGTACCCAGGCTAATCAAGACCTACCCATTTACCAACTATGAAGTCAATCCATTTAAGCCTTCTCTTAGTTATCGTGTTTACAGACAGACACATGAACGCCTACGAAAACATAACCTTCTTGGCGATGGTAACAAACATTTTGTAACGCCTCCTGGCGACTACCATGCTATTTTCACTCAAACAAACCACTCCGCCTTAGCTGTGGGGTCAATGACCTGGAGATACCGTGCCTGTGTGCGTGTTTACAGTGAACTTGAAGGCTGGCCAACAGAGCAGGTTTCAGCAGAACGGAACTTCGACACCAAAACCTGTACACATTACTACATATTGTTCAAGTGTGTGGGTTCTCTTTTAAAGGATAAATTCTCACGTTAATTGATCTATGAGAACATGACTGAGTACGTGAATATTATAATGATTCACTGAGGAAGCCTTGACCTGGTTTAAGACCATAGGCTCAGCATCTGGTTACCATTACATCTATAAATCGGTGTACGAAATCCTGGTACAGCACAGGATGTAATAAGACGTCAGTGCGGGGTCCCTTAGGCCACAGCAAGTAAATTTTATGGATGACATCCTCCGCAGACTCGAAATCTAATGCGAGCGGGCGAAAAAAACAAGGTTCCTACATTTTAAAATTTTGACACAATCATTGTACAGATGGTTTTCATCAGTGGGAACATCACATATACACATCACATATACACATCACATATACACAGCCAGCATCGCATATCACTGCATCAAAGTAAGAAACAAAACATTAGATTAGATACTTTTCTTATCTCCCCTCTTCATAGTTATCTGCCATCCACGTTCCGGCATGGCAACAGACATCTTTGCCCATTTTCGGCATGTTGACCACTGTCAAAGGGCAACAAAATTTCTTGTTTTTTTTTCCCCAAATCAGGTACAAATTAATGCGCGCTGATGTCATCCATAGAAATTACTTGCTGTGGCCTTACTCGCGCGGCTACATCGTCAAACCCTTTCTTGGTCATCACAGGCGCTGGGTCCAAAAGTCCATCACTCCTGTAGAGTTTTACTTCTGTACATTCCCGACTGATAGTTTGAGGTACTACAAGCATGTCCTTGGCACAGGGAGCGTCGTTTTCCTTCTCTCTGTCCGTTCTAGTCTTCTGTACGAACTTAAACCCCGTGAGTTTGGGTAGGATCCTGATCCCCGGACCTCCGCTGGGCAGCCGGTGGGCCGTGGTGAACAAAGTCGCGGCTGAGCTGGTGAGAGCGGGACACGAGGTCACGATGCTGGTTACCGAAGGGACGGAGGACAGCATACGGGACAGGGGGAAGTTTTCCCTGCTGACGACGCGGCATCCGGACGCGCTACGGTACTACAAGCAGCGTGCGAACAAACGCGTGAGTCTGACGCCGTCTCAGGGAGTACTAAGGTAAGGCCACACCAATTTAATTTCTTGGTTAACGGATTTTTCTAGAAAATAATGGAGCGGGCGGGCGAAATGAAAATAAAAACACGCATAGGCATCCTATTATGGCCCAAAATGCTACGATAGGAGGCATGAAGTCAACACACCAGGCTGGTTCAAAATTTAAACAATGAGTTTTAAACTTTTAATGATACCATTGTATTGAAAGATTGATTAGCTGTAACAACCAGAAAGAAAATGACTGTTTTCAACTGTCCAGGGCTAAATATGAGCATTTTGAAGTTGATTCTTAATTTTTTTTTTTTTGCGGATCAGAAAAAAATTAAGCGGGTGAATCCATTAACCAAGAAATTAAATTGGTGTGGCCTAAGGGCCTGCATGCCCTTTTTCGCAAGGCGTAATCAGGCCTTTTAAGTCTTCGTAATCCGTAGTAGCCTCCGTATCAGGCTTATAGAACCGGGGTTTGCCCAGTTCTGACGGGGGTAATTCAACCAGGCCGGCTATGTTGTCTATATGCAATCAGAAAAAAAGCACATAAAAGCTCCCAAAGACCCTGAAGACCCCCCAAACCCCCAGTTTTTGGCATGCTTTGGAGGCTAATCCGTAGGCAGTCTCCAAAAATCTACGTAATTCCTAATCATTACATTAGCCGTAACACGTAATTGGTTGTTTGTATCCTAGGTAAGGCCATGTTGATTTGATTATATGGATGACATCCTCTGGGAACCCCAAAACTGATGCGAGCGCGCGAATAAAAAAAAAGTTTTGCAAAAAAAAAGTTGCTTTCATGAAATCTACGTTGTTATGAAGGTCGAACAAATGACAGAGTATGGTATGGCGAATAATCTACTCTTTAAATTCATTTCTTTGCATTTTAGTTTTTTGTTTGATTTTGGCATTCTACGACATTGGAATCGTTTTCAAATATTTTTTTTTCCAACTTTCGGTATATATTTGCTCATTTTGCAACTGTTTTGTACAATTTACAGTGTGGTTGGAAACTTTTTTTTTTGGAAACGGCCGAAAATTCATGCGCGCGCGGATGTCATCCATATAATCAAATCAACATGGCCTAAAGCATACCTTTCTGCAACTAGAACGTAATCCATAAAGTACTACGTAATTTAACATAATAATTCTGAGAATTTAACGTAAGGCCAAAGCAAGTAAATTTTATGGATGACATCGTCCACAGACTCCAAATCTAATGCGAGCGGGCGAAAAAAAAAACAAGGCGGCCCGAAAAAAGGTTCCTACAATTCAAAATTTTGATTCAACCATTGTGCAAATGGTTTTGATTCAGTAGAGCATCACATATACACAGCCAGCATCACATATCACTGCATCAAAGTAAGAAACAAAACATTAGATCAGAGTCTTTTCTTGTCTCCTCTCTTCATAGTTATCTGCCATCCACCTTCCGGCATGGCAACAGACATATTTGCCCATTTTCGGCATGTTGACCACTGTCAGAAGGCAACAATTTTTTTTTTCAAAATCAGGCGAAAATTAATGCGCGTGCTGATGTCATCCATAAAAATTATTTGCTGTGGCCTAAATCGTAATCGGCGGTGAAAATCTTGCGTAGTTCGTAATTTTCACCCCCTGCTCGCCCTCTCAGGTTAGTACCGGAGGACCTGTACTCCGCGCTGTCCTACGTCCTGGATCACGCGAAGTTGTACGAACTTTTCGCGTCTGAGTGCGAAGCGACTTTCCAACAGGTTTGGTTCACTTATTGAAATACATTTTATTTCAAACTGTTCATTCCATAACAACGCTCGAAATGAGTTGACTATTCAAGCTTCTACAATTTATCCCAATTTCTCTACACTTACAGACCAAGAAAAACTTTTCTTTTAACTTCCCAAAACCCACAAATTTTGGAAAAGGTGGGACATTACGTCTTCCATGGTTTACAGAAGAGAAGTCGAACCCTTCAGACATAGTTTTAGACATAGTTCTAGTTTTAGACAGCTACCTTTATCATGTAGACTTAAGTTATTTTATACTGTATTTCATTGTTCTTTTATGTTTTGTAATTTGCAATTAGCCTCCGGGCACGAATTTGCAATAAACATTTCAATATATTCACTGCATTGTGTAAATCTAGCTAATCACCTATTTATTCTCCGATTGTGATTACATGTATTCTGTTTGATTCATTAGCTCAATGTTTTCCTTCACTTCTTTTGCTGTTACTTTATTGTTATGTACTTAATAATTATTTAGACTTGATTTGATAAATGTAATGATGTAAGAATAAGACCACCATGACTTTTTTCCTTTCCCTACACGTTTATTTCGGTTATGTATGTCCGAATGTGGCGTCGGTGGCGCAACGGTTAGAGCGGTTAGAGTCGGAACCAATAGGTCCCGGGTTCGATACTAACCGTGGCCCGACGTTGTGCCCTTGGAAAAGGCACTTTACACGACTTCCCCACCTGTACGGTGGAGTGACGCCCACCGAGCCTCTTAGGCTAATCTGTCTGTGTGCCAAAAAAAATAAGGATTTGGTGCGCCGATGTGACAACATCTGCACATTGGCCACTGAGAGTCGTTAATTTTTTTTTAATGTCCGAATAAATCAAATTAAATCCAGTCCAATCACACAGGGCGTACTAAACGGCACGGAGTTTGACGTGGTGCTGTCGGATTTCCTGTCCCCGTGCGCGGTGATCCTGGCGCGGCACCTGGGGCGGCCCGTGGTGTCGCTAGCCCGCGGCACGCCGGGAGGGTACGACCTGACCGCCGCCGGAGTCCCCATGCCGCCCGCGTACGTGCCGCAACTCGGACTCACACTCACAGGTAGTCATGGTATAATTACCTTCGCTAAGAAGGTTATATTTTCAGTAGCGTTTGTCCATCTGTTTGTCCGTCTGTCCGTTTGTCTGTCTGTCTGTGAACAGCATAACTCAAGAAGCTTTATATGCATTGTCATGAAACTTGGTAGGTGGGTAGGTCTTGATGAGACCTAGAAATGATTAGATTCTGGGTCCCCAGGCGACTTTGGTTGGTACTGCAGCAGGACTTCCGGTTTTGATATGTCGCGATATGGACACGCTAGGGTCACAAATTTTGGATGGTAGATAGCTCTTGGGGTAGGGAAGAAGTGACATGAGTTTGGGTTCCCTAGCGGCTTGCTCTGGAACCGCAGGAGCGTTTGTTGAAAAATCTTCGAAGGAGGATAACTCAAGAACCGGTTGACAGATTGTCATGATCGTTCAATAATAGGCCTATGAAACCCTTGTGATATGTAATTGAGAACGACAAAAACATCCGAGGATATAGATTATTTAGATTAAGGCCTAATTTTCATAATTTATGGGAAATTGCTATAATGTCATAGTTGTAACTCCGACATAAGGACCCTGTCGTGTATCGATCTTGATACGATGTTTTACGCTATGTTTGCAGCATCGCAGTCGTTTTAGTACCTTCATCAAAACGAAATTACGACACGTAAATAATACCATCCACAGACGACATGACCTTCCTACAACGTCTGGAGAACGTGCTGGTCCAGTTGGTGACGTCATCGCTGACCGGAAGTGTGCTGCTCCGTCCGTTTGACCGGCTGGCCCGGGAACAGACCGGAGTGTCCGTGGCCGAGCTGCTGGCCAGCACGGACCTGTGGTTACGTCACACCGACCCGCTGTGCGAGACGCCCCGGCCCGTCATGCCCAACATGGTGTACATCGGGGGGATCACTGCAGAAAGGCCAAAGCCACTCACACAGGTACAATCATAGTAATAATAATAATAATACATCAATACACCGTCAACATACCTATCTCGAAGTCATTTTACAACAACAGTATCTTTCCCCGGACTGCAAAATTATGGAACTCTCTTCCAAACAGTTGCTTTCCGTCCGAATACAATCCACAACACTTCAAAACAAAGGTCCATCGCCATTTCCTGACATAACTACATTATACTCACTTAAGTACCTCTAGCTCTATGCCTAGAAGTGGCCAAGAATAATTGGCATTGCGTTGAGCGACACCGTTAAAAAAATAAAATAAATGAGTTTATATTGTCCAATTAGTACCCGTGCAATCGCAGCCTTGAACGGCTGAATTGATGCAGGGTATCACATAATCATCAATCCAAATCAATCAAATAATGCACATGATAACACAGATTTGCTCCACAAACTTTTTGTGGAACTGTCGCAAGGGTCTGTGCGGCCGCCTTCGGCACCACAAGGTGACCTCAATACGCCTTTCCCCAACCTAAGGTAGAGTGAGTGTGGGTGGAGTGAGGAAGGTTGTGTAAAGTGCCTTTCCCAAGGGCACAACATCGGGGCACATGTCCAGGCATGTCCCAGGTACAAGTCGGGATCAAACACGGGTCTCCCCGTTTCACAGTCGAACGATGTACCACTGCGCCACCCGACGCCACTTAAATAGTACAAAAGATATTCATGTAGTCATAGTATGACAGATATTTGACAGATGTTCAAAACATGAACCAACCACAAAGTTTAGAATTACCGCCTCCAGGGCTAAACCACTCACTCACTCACGCGCAGGTCAATTGACAAAAGTGTGTGGCGATTTCTAACTTAGGCCACAGCAAGTAATTTTTTATGGATGACATCAGCGCGCGCATTAATTTTCACCTCATTTTTGGATTAAAAAAAAAGAAATTTTGTTGCCTTCTGACAGTGGCCAACATGCCGAAAATGGGCAAAGATGTCTGTTGCCATGCCGGATGCAAGATAACTATGAAGAGAGGAGACAAGAAAAGGCTCTGATTTAATGTTTTGTTTCTTACTTTGATGCAGTGATATGTGATGCTGGCTGTGTATAGGTGATGTTCCTACTGTACATTTGTATCAAAACCATTCGTACAATTATTTAGTCAAAATTTTAAATTGTAGGAACCTTGTGTTTTTTCGGCCCGCCTTGTTTTTTTTCGCCCGCTGACATTAGATTTGGAGTCTGCGGAGGATGTCCTCCATAAAATTTACTTGCTGTGGCCTTAGAATGTGAATGTGTGTGTTGTCATGTCACTTTAGGAAATGACATTACTGGCCAGCTCCCAACGCGAGTGCTGGTGACACAATCACACATTTGACTAGTCACTGGCTCGCCCAGCGGTTCCGCTCGCCCCAAACCGTAACCTTGAACTACATACGTCATCTGCCGTCTGAGGTAAACAGGGATGGAATCTGGGTCAAGGACAAGGAGCAGGGGAGACACAAAGTCACGTTCGACTCCTCGGCTTTCTACCCCTTTGTTTCTAAGAAATGAAAATCGTGCCAAACAAGGATGCACCGCGGGCGGGATTTTGTCTCGGCTGAAAACCTAGTCTCTACCAGACTAACTACGCTGGCTATATATATAGGAGAATAATTGCCAGGGGAGTTTGGTCGCCTTGTAGGTTTGACTGGCCGCGCAGTTAAAGAAACTACCCCCCCGCGGCCGGACTCCCTTGGTCAATTTTTTGCCGAATTCTTCGATCCGTATTCCCGTAGAAAGGCCTGGTGGAGGCTACTGAAAACCACTGATCTTTACAAACGCCCATGCATATGCTACCGGGTTATACTAAGTCACATATTGTAGCAGTTTTATTGTAGTTTTATTCATTTCTGTTTTATTTATACAGGGTAGAGACCTCAGTGCTATTTAAAAACACTACTTTTCAGGAATGCCCTGTACGTGACAACAAGTTACACATAAAAACAATGAAACCAACACATTAAACAATACATAAAGTTATAAAACAACCAAGCGTCAAAACAGAATCGTTAACCGCAAATCAGTGTCGTTAAGCCAGGCCAAGGTCAGAGGTCAGCAGTGTTGTTTCAGAACCTTCTTAAACGACAGGTAAGACGTGGCCACTCTAACTGTGGCAGGTAGGCAGTTTCAAGCAAATGCTCCCCTATATGCAAACTTTCTTCGGCAAGATTCCAGTCGGACTTTAGGAAGTTTTAAAGATAGGTTTGAGTTGTGCCTAGTTTGGTAGATATGAGATGTTCTACAGAACATTTGTAGGTATTCCGGTACTTGTTGGTGTATTGATTTGAAGACGGTTTGAAGGAGGTGCATTGGCCGACGACTTGCCAGGGAATTCCAACCTAAGGCAGACAGCTGTATATTATTAATATGTGACATACGTGGTGTACCAAGAACAGGCCTTGCAGCACGATTCTGAAGTGTTTGGAGGTTGTCTGAGAGAGATTATCATCATCATGTTTTACGCACAGGAACTAGAAGAGTCTCTGGCCAAAGTAGCGGGAGAAAACATCGCGGTGGTGTCGTTCGGCTCCATGATAGATCACTTCGATGCGGACCTAGCGGAAGTCCTGAGTACTGCACTTGGCCGCTTACCATACAAAGTCGTTTGGAGGTAGGCACTTTCAATTACATACTGCCAAATAAAACATCTAAGGATATAGATTATGCAAATGAAGACCTAATTTGCATGATTAATGGGAAATTGCTATAGTTTCGAAATTGCTATAGTTTCATTGTTGTAATTGCTGGGAATATCATACTTGCAACATTTGGAAGTTAAGTGAAGGTGAACATCAATACAAATTTATTCAAATTATGACCTCATTTTCATAATTTATGAGGAAGTGCTAGAATAGCCTATTTGTTAAGATAAGGCTGTCATTGGGTGGATAATATGATCAACTGATATAATCCATGCAAATGAGGCTCTTATTTGCGAAATCAATGATTAAAATTGTATATTTCGTAAACCGGAAGGTTTAACGTCATTTGGCGACGGAATGAGATCGTGGAACTCTTGTTTGTTAATGAACTTTGTTTGTTTGTTTGTACTCAGATATCGAGGTCCATCTCCGCGTCACCTGGGTAACAACACGGTGCTGTTGCCATGGTTACCACAGAACGACCTGCTAGGTAATATGACGTCATCATCCTTTCCCGCAGACCAACCCTCTGGTCTAGTTAAAGTATAGCGCTTTAAGTTCTGTAAAAGTTACAAAATTGGTCCTACACTTGTATTGTGAGACGTATGTCTCTCTCCCTGTGCTAAGCGACTACTCTCCCCCTGTTTTAAGCGACCAGACTCGCCTGTTTTTAACTGTTACCCGTCATACCCCCTGTGCTAGACGACCGGCAGGCCCGGCTAGTTGTGACTATTGTCCGTTTCTTTCCCTGTGCTACGCGACCGGCGGACCCGGCTGTTTGTAACTGTATCACGTCTCTCATTGTTGTAAGCGACCGGTAAGCGACCCGCCTGGTTTTAACAGTTTCCCGTCTCTCTCCCTGTGTTAGACGACCGGCGGACCCGCCTGATTTTAACAGTTTCCCGTCTCTTTCCCTGTGCTAGGCGACCGGCGTACCCGGCTGTTCGTGACCCATGGTGGCGCGAGCGGCGTGCAGGAGGCGCAGTACCACGGCGTGCCGATAGTCGGCGTTCCGCTGTTCCGGGACCAGTTCAGCAACCTTGCGCGGGTGGAGGCCCTCGGTACGGGCCGGGCGGTGCGACTCGGGGAGCTTACAGCAGACAGCTTACACAGAGCGTTACAGGACGTCACTAACAATCACACGTACGGTTATATTTCTATCTATAGGAAATCTGTAGGAAACTGTCATAGAAGAACTTTATTGCACAACAACTGCACATGGTACAATGTTTGGCAACTACATAAAGAGAGTAACAACAATAAAATAAGTGTGTTGAATAAGACCTAATGTCGAATAAAACCTAACATATCTATATCATAATTATTCAAATAATAAGGGGTAGCACAAGTCTTTGATAAAGTGTTACAATCGAGTGGGCTAATCACAAGTTTCGGTATCTTTTTCTAATAACAAAACATTCCTTTATATATCTACCTATTTTTGCGTTGTGGGAACCATAACATGAAAAGATATATTCAAATCTGTCTCCAACATCGAGACTCTTGAAATCTATGGTATTTGATTCGAGAAATGTAAATAGCTTGTTACGTATAACATCATATTTGGTACATTCCATAACAAAATTAAATTCTCGCTTCCCTCCCAGCTACAGAGGAGACCTCCGATCATATGTTTTGTCAGTCTGCGTTTATAGCATTCTCCCTTTTCTTCCTATGACTTTACTGTATCAAGTAACTATAAACCATAACTATGTACACAAACCAATCACAAACACACAGCAAAAGACTAGCAGCAAAGTGTTAACGTTGCTTATTTTGCTTTCGGATGTCAATGCATTTGTATTTGTTATTTCTGAATAATTCATATGTCATAATTCATATGTGATGATAACGTTCGATCATTTTAAATGGACTTGAGAGGGATCAGATGACTTGAGCGCTTTACTTAGTGCATACGAAAATAGCGAATTAAACCTGTATAAGGCCATATCAAGTAATTTCTATGGATTACATCAGTGCGTGCATTAATTGTCTTCGTCAGAAGGACTATGAAATTGTCTCACCGGAGTGTGGGGAACTGCGGATTTTGCAATATAACTCTGGAAGGCATCATTCGACGTCCATGATTTTTGGCAGGTAGATTACCGCTGTTAAGGCCGAAGTCAAGTACAAGTTTCGGCTTCGTGGGGGGTCCTTGCGTCACGTTAGTGCACCTTTTGTGTTTTTGGCTTGTTAGCAAGATAACTCAAGTATTTGTGAAATGTTGATTATAATTCTTGGTGTGGTGCTTACTATTGTCAGGACCAAGGTTAAGTTCGTTACTGAGCTTCGTGGGGGGGTTTCGTTGTGACTACAGGGGGCATTTTGTTAATTTTTCTTGTGAGCAGGATAACTTTTGTATGTGTGGATGGAAGTTAATGAAATTTGATAGGCATGTTACTGTGATAGTTTCCAAGATTGAGTTTAAAGATGAGAGTCGTGGAGGTCGTTATGTCCCCGTAATAGGACCTTTTGTGTTTAGAAATCCCCACCTACATCTGCTTGGAGACAGCCGACAGCTGGATATAGCTGGGGAACCCCATAATGGGATGGGATCAAATGACGTTACATTGAGGGATTGTACTATAACTTCAGCAGGGGGAGGATAGGTTGGACATGTCAGGTTATTTTCTTCGGCCGGCCACACCAAGTAATTGCTATGGATGACGTCCACTGGAGACCTTAAATCTAATTACCTTGAATTTAAGGCAAGCGCGCAATAAAAACACGAAGGGCCGAAAAACGAGATGCCTAGATTTGGAATATACTAACTGTAGAAGTACAAATGTTAGGACACAAAGAACACAAGAAACAAGTCTTCTATTTGTCATAAAGACAAATTAACAAAACAGCAGTAGTCACCCCGTTCTGATTCTTTCCTTTATAACATCTTCTCTTATTATATTTTGCGGCGCTGTTGTGACACTTTCAACACAGTAAGAATTTCTTGAACGTTTTTTTCCA